TAAGTTTTTTTTTTTTTTTTTTTTTTTGTATAAAGACTCGAGAAAATTCGTTCGATCAAAGTTTGAGCGACTTCTATGGCTACAGAGATCTCGAGAAATTGTAATTAAAGTTCTTCGATTTCTTTCATCATTAAGTACGAATAGAAAAGATAATAGAATTACGTCGTCTTCGAAACGAGGAGAATAATCAATCGAACGATCAATGAGAATGCGAGGAGGGTTTTTTAATTAGGGGAACAAGAAACAGCGAGCGTAGTAGATATAGAGGACGAAGCGATCGATTTCGGTAGCAGTTTCTCGTGAAGTAGAGATTGCGAAAAATCATCAAGTACACGGATTAGCAGAAAGATTTACGGTAACACGCGCTGTTAGTTAATCTAATATGGAGCGTAATTAAGGATTATGAATGCCATAATAATGACTAACTTCTTGTGGTTGTACTTAAGTCATACCTTTACACTTTAAGGTTTACGTTTAAGGCCAATTAAATATGTAAGTTGCATAATATTTCACTATCGGAGTGTTTTCGAGTTTAATTGCTAGGCATTTATTTCTACGTTTCTTTTTTTTTTTTTTTTTTTTTTAATTTCAATGGTTCCCGGTACCGGAAGATTCCGTGACGATAGTCGTCGACTCACTGGATCAGAGGTTTAACGAATTCTGATTTCTTTTTCTTTTTCTCTCCTTTCTTTCTCGTTGAAAGAAAATTTTCTGGCAGACGATTCGCCTCTCGAAGGAACGAGAGCTTGACAAATCACCAGTCGTTTGTCACAGCTCCGACTTTGAGGTTCGACGAACATTCTCTCTAGCCTCTTACTTACAAAACGATGAAATATTAACGAAGTATCCTTTCAGTCTCCGTTTCTTTTCCCTTTTTTTCTTTTCTTTAATCTCGGTTAATTATCGAGGAAAAATTCGAACGCGTAATCAATTGGTTCTGCAATTTTTTTTCTCCGATTGACAGTTCATTTCTGTATCCAGCGTATCGAACAAAGTCGACGAGAGGCCTGTGAGATTGCGCAAAGGAACTGTTTGACGAACTCATATCGGAAATCAGGTATCGAGACCGCCTGTCGTTTCATGGCTCCGGCAAGACTCTGCGCACCGGACCTTGGTCTCACTTTTGTGATTATTATTTAAGTTAGACTTAAAGCGTACTTTGAGCGTACGCTAGGTTAGACTAGGCTTTTTACAATGTTTCATGTATGTTTCATGAAAAGGAAACTCCCTTTCATTATCATTCTTCTGTCGCCGATGAGATTCTACGAGCGAAAGTAATCAACGAATTCATACGTCGACGATGCGAACATAGCTATAAATATTCGAGCGGTTGATGATAAAGATAAATAGAGCTCGTGAATATTCAGAGAATCAAGCATGGAGTGCATTTATACCATCTCGCCCAACAACGACCATGTACCCCTCGATCCCGCAGGAGGGGAAATTAACAGAACCGAAAGAGAATTCAGTTCAAACGCTGGTTTGAAAGATAATTTCGTAATAATTACGTTTTTAATCCATACGTCGTAAATAGACTCCTACAGTTTGTCTGTAACATAAGTTTCCCTAGTTGTAACGTTAAGAAGGTGTTGAAGATTTTGGATTCTCCATGATAAACATTCTATTTTGCGTAATGAATCCGATTAAGAAGGCACTCGGTCCCCTTTACGATCGAACTCTGTGCGCTATAATCGTTCGTATACCGTGAACGGATATTCCGTATATCGACGTTCGCCGAGATTTTGCCAGGAGAACAGATTGCAATGCTGCCAGTGTTTACCACGTAAAACTCCCTACCTTGCCCACCTCCCCCCTCCCTTTTTATTCCTTGATTATCGTATATGATACAATTTTATCGTGTACGTACCTTTGTTCTTGTTTCCTCGCGTTCTTTCTCCGTCGAGTCTAGTTCTTTTACAGGGCATTGGATGTCTCATTGTCCGCGTTTTCACGTTGCACTCGCTGCGTCGACGTAAAACGATGATTTCAGCAAGGCGACAACACGTCCGCTTTCGTCGTATGGTTCGTGTTTTCGTGGCGAAATGCTCGTTGCGTAAGGGTCGAGGACCGTTGTGCCTTCGAATGCACGCGACCGAATGATACGTTTAAACAGATACCCACTTTGTGATTTCGTAAGCAGTTGTTCAATGTTTTCCTTTTTTTTTTTTTTCGTACTTTCCTTAATGCTTATCTAGGATAGCTTATGTACCCTAAAGAGTGTTTCAATAAAAGTGACAATGAAATCAAGTCCGAATTTGCCTTTTCTTTGCCAAACGCAACACTCATTTCTAACCTGTTCGCGTATTCTCAATTCGTTTATTTCAAAATTTCGATTATCGAATGTTCAGTAAATATTTAGTTTAAATTTAAGATAGTTCGTGTGTCTTAAAGAATGTTTCGATAAAACAATGAAATCAAGTCTAAATTCACATTTTCTTCACCAAATATATCACTTACTTCTAACACTTCTTTTCACTGAATTCACAATTCGACTGATCCGTTCGAAAATTCGATTATCGAAATTAAAGGGATAATTCGAGAGCGAGTTTCTGTTGGCGGTTGATTGTACTACATTAACCAAAATGGCTGCCGTGCCGGGATATGATCCGTTTATTTGGAAATTTAATTATCGAAAGTACAGTGTCTTTTTTCTTTTAATACGTATTTAGGATAGCTCGTGTATCCTAAAGAGCGTATTTTTTCTTCGCCAAACGTATCGAACATATCGCCTAACCTATTCGCGTATTCTCAATTCGACTGATTCATTTGGAAATTCGATTATCAGTGTTCAGTGTTTTTTTCTTTTAATGTTTATCTAGGATAGTTCGCCCTAAAGAATATTTCGATAAAAATAATAATGAAATCAAGTTTAAATTCACATTTTCTTCACCAAACATATCACTCACTCCTAATCCATTCGCGAATTCGTAATTCGACTGGTTATTTGAAAATTATCGAAACTAGCGGCAATTTCGATAATCGAGAACGAGTCTCTGTTGGTAGTTGATCGTACTACATTAACCAAAATGGCTGCCGTGCCGGGATACGAATTGCCGTTTTGGCGCGTAATTTACTAGTCGCTTTTCCGGAATATTTCGAACTGATTCGTGTCGTCTTCTCGCAAGCTGTTACTAAATATCCGTCGACGTGTCAATTAGTTATTCACATCCGTTTCTCGGCATAATTATGAGTGTATATCTCCGTTCGAATTATCAGTGCACTATGGTTACGTTTTTTAGCACGTATGACGAAGGAAAACGTCGCGAATATGGCACCGCGTTACGAGAAAGTAATTTTATGCCGTGGCATGTCGGAAAAAAGTGACTCGCAAGAGGCCTACGTGAAAACGTTAAAAACGGCAGGTTATTCGTGTGACTGTTTGCCTACTCTGTGTTTTGAATTTGTGAATATAACGGAGCTGAGATCGTGCCTTCTGTCACCATCTTTATACTATGGTAATAACATTGTAAACTGAATTCCTTTCCTTAAATCTGATTTATCTTCATTAATCAATACATTCATAGGGCTGATACTGACAAGCCGACGTGCAGCAGAGGCGATTGGACTTGCAGCAAAGGAAAACGATAGTATTTTACATCCTTGGAGAACCTTGCCAGTGTATTGTGTAGGACCAGCAACCGAATCTTTTGCCAAAAGTCACTTAGGTTCAGAGAACTGCTTCGGTAAAGAAACTGGCAATGCCAAAGAGTTAGCAGAATTATTAGTGGTCTCTGTCGCAAAAAAATCAAAGCCTTTATTGTACCCTTGCAGTGAAATAGGACGCGAGACAATCGAAAAGATTCTTAATGAAAATGACGTAAAAGTCCATAAAATAGTTGCTTACAGAACTTTGCCTACTAAAACTTTAGAGTGTGATTTGTCAAAATTCATGGACGATAGGTCCAAAATATTTGTTTTCTTTAGTCCATCTACAATAGAACATGTAGTAGCTTTATTGAAAGAAAAGTCTTATGATATGAATAACATAAAAGCAGTTGCTATTGGACCTGTGACTGGGCAAGCATTACTTAATGCTGGTCTTAATATTTTTGCTATTGCAAACAAACCTGATCCAATGTCATTGTTGGATGCTATTAGTAATGCTGAGAAAAGTGAATTTGATGAAAAGAGTGACTGAAGAGTGAATGATGAGTGAATGCTGTTATGTAAGTACATAATTGTCATTAATCTATTGAGACTATATTTAATTTTTTAATATTATACTATTAAGGAAATAAAAAATGAAATGGTCATTTTATTCATGGCTTGGAATTACACATCACAAATGCAACAATATGGTCTCGATAGATTAAGTTATATTCTTAATTATGTTTGCCATCTTTACATATAATTTATTTCCATGGAATATCTGTCACAATATTTAGCTGTTGAATTCAACCAGTTTGTTGATTGATAGATAATATTGGTAAACTTTAATTTGATTATAACAATAAATATATATCCTATTATATTAAACATATAGATAAAAAAATAAGATTACTATCTATTTACAGTTTAACAGTATCTAATTTTTATAAGACATTGACTATACATTGCTATGTGATATATATCATAATATTGTTTACAATGTTGAAAAATTGATGTAATTAGAAAAATTACTTCCCTATACATAATAAAGAGAATTTTAAACTCTATTTCTTGTACATATACACAAATTCCCTTTATTATGTACAGGGAAGTAATTTTTATGTGTATATTGTGTATATAGTATATATATATATATATACTAAACAGTGCTAACTAAAATATTTATAATATTAACATTTAAAAATAATATGTTTATAATACGTAGAGTGAAAGGTGTTTGTAAAATTGTGCGTATCAGTCTTTACCATTAATCTCTATAGCATTTCTTATTATTCCTCGTGAGTGTGTAAATAATTATTAGAAAATGCTGCTCTTTTTAAACATTTATGATATTTAGAACAATTATGTTTCTCATTTTCTTTGATGATAGACTTAGTAGCTCCTAATAAACTTTAATATCTATTTCGATTAACCACATTACTAAGAAGGCACGAAATATCTGCACCCACGATAGATTGATTAGCGTAATAAGGCTGAGGTGGATTTCCTCCGTTATTATATTTCATTTGAACAGCAGTTTCATAATCAGGAGCTGGTCGATAGGACGGAAGTAAGGCACGTAAGTTATTGATGTCTGTAGATGACACAACAGGATACGGTGATGTTGACAGATCATTGTAACTAGTCCATCTTGTGTGACCCTCTGCATTTTTGTTATCCAAATTTACCGATACCGCATGATCGCCCGAGTCATTCGTATCGCTATCCTGAAATATGATACAATGATTTCATTCGAACGTATTTTCGGCACATTGTTACACTTGAATGAAATATTACTTACGATGTAACCATTAGTTGATCTCTCTATTGGTCGAGATTCTTGATGCTGCATGTAAAATGTGTGTTGCGCTATGCATAAACGCCACACATATTTTGCATTCCGCGATTCGGTAAATATGAATTGTTTTGGATCTTCGCCTTCGGTTTGACATTCTATTCTAAATGTCTTTTTGTGATTGATCACATTGCTTATGTCTTTCCACCTGAAGCATATATAGATCACCATTATATTTGTTGATTCAATATGTAATATATTTTACGAAATAAATACCTGTAGAATTGCGTTGTTTGTGTGTTAGGATAAATGACCACGATTCCATTGATAGAAATTCCTAATATTACTTCATTGTTCCCGTTATCCTGTAATCAATAGATGGAAGACTAAAATTTGTTGTTGTGTGAAAAACTACTCATGTAGAATCGATATGAATACCTTGGTAGAGAACGTTTCATTTCCATATCCTTCTAGCTGCACAACAACAGAAATATATAGTTCCTCTGCAGCAGCCTGGGTAACACCGACCAGATTCTTATACTGAGATACAGCAGTATGCAAAAGAGAATCTTGTCCTCCAGTATCTGCTTGAATAACATCCTAAACAATAAAATAAAGTGAAAACTACACAAAACAAATCTAATTATTCTTTTATTGATAGCTGTTTAATTACTTTGGGAAATAATATACATTGTTGCAAACACTCCATTGTATGACGTTCCACATCATAGTTACCAAATTCTGCTTGCATTAAGTAACTTGCTAAAAGAGTTGCTTGCCTAGAATTACATTGAAATCTACCTTCCAATACATCACTTTTTAATTGAAGATAATAGTGATACCTAAAAAAGTACAATGTTTAAAGAATAAATGGTAGTGATACAGGCATAAAAATATTTAAAATACATACCTTGTCATTTCATCTTGAATAAACTGCATGTCCGTAACATAATACATAACTCTCAAATATAAACTAAAATTTTTGGCTTCTTTCTCCAATTGTTTCTTCAATGGTTTGTCCATGTCGATCCATCTTGGAGATGGAGAATCGTGCCTTGAAATATAACGTAGGCCAAAGAATTCAGGCTGTCCTAAGCCTAAACGTTGAGTCACATTGTCCAAGCACTCTTGGCCAAGGCTGTCAATGCTCAATGTGCATTCTATAGAGGTGGCATCCAATAGTTCTATGCAGATCACATACTGATTTTTGGACACCACGTTATACTGCCGACTTTTTTTCAAATGAAATTTGAACGGCATTTTCATAACGTATTTAACTGAAAAAAAAAATAGCATTGATACAAAGTTAAATAAAATTGTAGAAATCGAATCATTTTCAAGTTTGATTTACTGTGTCGGCTGTTAAAGTATTTTTGACTGAGAAAATTGCGCTGGACATAATTTAAGCATGAAAAAATAACAAATAAAAGACAAAAAATTGTAGCAACGGTGCGTTTTCGTTAAGGCCGCCAAAGGGAAATAAATACCGTATAACTACGACCAAATACCGAAATGTTTCACATTCCACTTTTTTTTACTTTTACTTTTAATTGAAATATATATGCATGCACGTACTATATACATTCCACTCTGTCGAGCATGAGAAATGTATATATAATGTTTCACATTTAATAAATCGAAAGCATTTCTAACCTCGTTTTTCACGTCATTAATGCTAGTTATAAAACACAGTTCCTAAATTGGGCGACCTTGACATGAGAGATTAAAACTCTATGAATTTTTCATTCAGGATAGAAAAAAAAAGTGAAAGATAATGTCAAAAACTTTATAAAAACTAGATCAAATACATAAAATGCATATTAATTATGAGTAAAAATAGTTTATTTTTCAAATATTCTTCAACTAGATGAATCATAATTTTTATAACTAAACGAGGAACGCTATTAACGTTATATTTTCTGTTGAAAAATCAGCCAAATTTATGCTCAAATTGTTAAAAGTTGTTTACATCATAGATAAATCGAGAAAACTTATTCACTAGAATAAAATTTCTACTCATATTCACTAGATCTAGTTACTGAAAAAATTCCCTACGTATCTCATTATGCAAGCAGCTTAAGTTCCTCGTGTGTAGACGATGACTAATGATCTTATCAAAATTAATCGCCTACCTTTTATTGTAAATCCTGTTATCGCGTCGAATCGAATAAAATTACAAGTCTCACGATAACACGAGCGTGTCGCGTGCAAATTCCACTTGCTAGGACTTTTGCGTCTTACTTACGCATCTGATAATTAGTGATAAAAATTAATGTTTCTATGACGCGAAACAAAGGAGTAATTTTAGTATAATAAATATATTTTATATATAACAATTAATAAACGACTATTACAGTATGGAGTGCAACATTTTGTCTAAAATAATACAAGATTCGCAGCATCGAGCTCGCATTTTACAAAACATTTTCCGATTGACTAGACAGTTCTTTTAAATTTTCTTTCTCCTGTTTAAATTGAGTAAAATTGCGTGGCCGTAGAAGACTGCATTTCTATTTGCCCCATCTTGAACTGCAATCGATGAAGCCATCGTAACAGCGTGGCATTTGATTCTCGACGAGACGAGGCAAAGTGCTCGGACATTTTATTGGGTGGGAAGTCCCGGCAATTTTGCAAACGCACTTGCAAATGTCCTGGTAGCTAATTATGCATAAATATTTTATTAAAACAAAAAAGAAAACATTATCTTTCATTGTGAATGGAAGCGAGATGTTTTAGTAATTCATCTTACCTGAACATGATGCGAATATAGTATGGGACTCCAAAGAGGTAACAATTTACTTAATAGGATGGACCTACACTCGAGGAGAGTTTCGAGTAGGCTCAGGAAATGCAAATTCACCATCTCGGCCAACTTCAGGGACAAATCATTATTTAAGAAGAGAAATTATTTGAGGAAAAAGACTATACTATTTTTATGAATGAAGTTACAAATGGAGCTACTGTTTCTAAATTTCTAACTAAAAAAAAAAGAGAGAAAGAAAGACGACTACTGTTTCTTAAGACTACTATGAACTTACAACTTTGGAGAATCCAACCAACTGCAGTATGCAAGGCGTTATCTTGCCCCAGAATTCCAACAAAATGTTCATCGTAGTATTATGACTCTCGCTGTTTGATGGATTGTTCTTCGACAGCTCTTCCAAATACATGGTCCACAACTGAGCACAAACCACGATATTTCTAAATTCTATCGAAAAAAAATCTCAATCCCGATCGATATGAAGTGAACTTACTTGACACAATATGAATGCATGAAACAACGAAGACATGTGCAAGACCGATGCTTTGGACTGTTCCGGGAACCCGGAGAATATGACTTGCACGTGATCTGCAACATGGCAAGAGACTTCCTGCGGTATTGGCTGTGCGGATGGGCTCGGTGGCTCGTGGGTGTTGCCAGAGTACATTGCGGTATGCGTGAGAGAACCTAATAAGAGCCAGGATAATAATCTGATGTGTCCTATGCAATCCACATACTCTCGAGGCCTGAAAATGGCATTAACTTTAGCGTTCTTAAAGTTCTCCTAGCAACTCGTCTTTAATTTACCCTTGTTGTATCATCGAGGGTGCGCTATAGAGCCATGGAAGATATCGAGCCACAGCTCTGTTCTCCTTGTTATTGCCCCTAGTAATTTCTAACGCGACGTATTGCGCGAGACCGCACTTCAGTATACCACCCAATGTGTCCTCGTTCAGTCCAGCTTGCATCCCCTTGCTGTAGCTCTGTATCGTCAGGAAGTCCATTTAATCCATTGTTTAAAAGTGAAGTCACTCGGATTTCAAATTCAACTCTCGGAGATGTCATGCAATCTTTGAAGCTATTCATCATGTTTTACACGAATTCCTCTCTGCTTAGAACAGTACTCTTCTGTGTTAATTCGTATGTTTTCTTCGAGACGAAAATGTTTTGGAAAGCAATTATCGCTGTTTTTTATCTTTTCGTCATAAAATAACACACGTAGCAGCAACCTGATCAATTTATATCGATACAATGATTTCAAAGGAATACAGATTGTTTTATTTTTCACTGCTGGCATATGCAGTATGCCAAAGGAAATTAAATAGTATGTTCCAATCCGACTCAATCGTAAAGCAAAGAGTTAAAAATCAGTCTTGTTAGTTATAATGAATGCGACCGTTATTTATCATTATTTCGATTACCTTCACTTTACTCAAAGTGTGAAAATCTGCCAAGAAGTCAAGCACGTCCGACAGTTGAGACTTCAGAGACTCGGAGGCGTTAGTATTGTAAATTGACGATACATCCGTTTGGACGTTCTCCAAGGCGACGTTGTTAGGTAACGAGCCTCCAATGTCCTGCACATTCCATACATTCAGTCATAAATTAAATCCAATTTTGATTTTCTCACAAGACGTTTACTTTACCTGTAGTACGAAATGTAGAAGCAACAGAAAATTCGAGTCTGGTATTGTGGTCTTGAATTTGATAGCTTGAATCAGCTCGAACACGATGGTTCTTCCAAATAAGTGTTTGTCTCTGTCTCTTAAGAAACCTCTGTGACAGAGATAACAGAGATCCGTCAGGTAACTGTACTTTATAGTAGAATTTTGAATGGCGTAGCTCAACACCTTGGAAAAGGGATCCAACATACCCTGCAAATACAGTGACTGTAGATTTCCACATAATCATCTCTCACAATTAAGCATTCTTAGTCAGTAAAATGTAATTCACAGTATCAAGTTTTCGTAATCCTGTGAAATTACTACTGAAATTTAATATACTTGGACTTAATTAATGTGAATATTACAATAAATACAATGGCCTGCGATTATCTTCGCTGTAAAAGTTCAAAGAATATGTAAAAATTTTTCTTGATCGTCGTTTAGTGTTAGATCCAAAGATATTTTTCACGAGAAATAGAAGAATCTAGAAATTAATATTTCTCGCGCGAATTTTCAAGTATTTTTAACTTTCAAATAGTCAAATGAGACTGAAGATCATAAAACAGAAACTCGCTGCGGAACTGTGTCATAAATCTGTCTCGATCTGTTGCTCATCGAAAAATCGTTGCACCAACCAGCCAAAAGGAATAAATCCTCTGGCGCGTTTATGCCTCCTCTACAGCAACGGAAATCGCGCAGTAATCATAATAATCGTGAACATCCACGACAAGTGGATTTATGACCGGCGAATAACTAACCTTTGATTGTTGAATACCGGGAACCTTCAATAAAGAAATCATAATCCTTAATAACGAAGTGGCGTCTTCGATGGATGAGAGCATCAGCACCAGCCTACGGAACAGGGTATCGAATTGCGCTAGAAGACCGATCCAGGTTGTTGCACCTGGACCCAGACCTGCTTCCAGAGGTAGACAGTCCAAGTAGCATGCTATATTGAACAGTATTGTCGAGAGGCGTTCCACTGGTAGAGATTTCTTTGCGTTTAAGGCCTGAAATGTGAAGACATTAATGATATTCTAAGGATCTTACGACAAACGCGAGTTGAAAAATAAATTAGGATAAGAAATAAGTAAGAGATAAATTAAGACATTAATGTTAATATAAATTAAGAACTGGATTCTTAAATGGAATCATTTGTGATTATTAAATTAATCACAATACTGAAGGTATTAAGAGCCTTAAGATAGTAAAAGCTGGATTCATTTGCGATCATTAATTTAACGGTGATCGATAGGATCATATTTATTGATCATAATGAGCACATACTTGTACTTAGATATATTTGTTTTGTGAAAAGTTATCTCATTGATTTTAATTAACATCCGCTTTTAAATCTTCCGATTAAGATATGATTTGTGGATCATAACGTGATTTAATTATACTGGTCGTAGTATATTAAAGATCTTGAGATTTGGGATCCTATCTGGACTCGTATCAAGATATTTTCTTCATGAAAGATCTGTCTGTATCTTTTTCACAATGATCTCTTACATAAATTCTATTGGTCTATAACTTATTACTCGCGCAAGAGTACCTCGAGCAATAATTGTAGAGGCGCAATTGGATTTAGTTCGTTGAAGTCGACCAAAGCTTGAGTGACGCTCTTAAAGAATTGCATCCTCGTGGATTCTGAAAGATGAACGAATGTGGAAAATATGATAAATTAAAATCGTACGGTCTATAAAATTTTATAAAATCTACCATTCAGATGCGTTTGGAACATTTGCAAGAAGACGCCATTAGGCGCCAATTGGTGAAGAACGCAACGAAGGAACTGGTGCGCCACACTGATTGCGCCACCAGGCAGATGCATATTGGTCTCGCTTTGCCAGGGGTACATGGCATTGAGGGCCACCCTGCAAATGAAGACGTATTCAGAAGGCACGTTGTTATTTTAAACTAGCGCAATGAAATAAAACTCGACTCAGACTTTGTCACGACACGTAGGATTTCTGGCAAGAGCGGTGCTGCCAACGATGGTTCACGATGGATGAACGTGCCTAAGTTAATGATGCATAAACCGAGTTCCTCGTCGGAGTATTCCTCTTTTATCGTCCCACATTCCGAGCACCTTACCGGCAAATTTAGATACCAAATTATTGTACATTGTGCGGAAATAAACGTTTATTATTAACACCGATTCAACAGTGCTACCTCTCGTAAATGCAGTCGTCGCCGATGCGGAATAAACTTTGCTTCAAGCTGAAATCCGCGTGGTAGGCTTGCTGCGAGGCGACGTCGAAATTAGGTTGTTGTTGAGGACCAGACCTGCGAATAATGAAAGAGAATGATAATATACTCGATCCTCTTGCAACACATTATTACTTGAAAATACAAGTTTGACGTAATATAGTCCTGTTGTGGCACTCTTGTTCGAACAAAATACGTATTGAACTCTCACTCGTATTCGTAATTCCTCGTTTCAATTTTACACTAAACTATTCCTTCTCGTTTGCTAAAATAAGAGCAAAAATTCGAGGATCGTAGCAGAGATAACCATCATACGATACGAACGTTTCTGTCTCGAAACTAGACCCTGACTGGTGATATTAGTAAAATTTTCTAAAATTTACCAGGATTCTTTACGCCTGGTCAACGGACCATCGTGTCCAGTGACACTGTCTTTTCGAGGCCTGTCTCGTTGAATGCGAACGTGATCCTTTGTTCTGCCTCTTCGATCAAGATCGAACACACGAGAGGGATAGTCTAAAGATTCGATCGCTGGAGGTGGCGATTCCAGAGCTACCTGCTTGGTCAGCCTTCTTGGACTCGTTGATCTACTAGAGTGTATCTCGTTTGATGTTGGGACCAACGATATTGACTGAAAAGTCGATTCGAAGTTTGTTTCGTGTTTAGACGATAGGCCTTGGCAACAGGAAATGAGAAATATCTTTTTACCATGTTCTCAGACGTTGTGCTATCCTGCTTTATCACCGGTGCCTGTCCATCGTCTTTCCCATTGCCATTGCCATTGCTAAATTTATTGGAATCTGATAAATTCGACACGGTATTATTGTCAACATAAAAAGTTGTATCTTCTATTACAGTACAATTGTACCTTCGATTTCTTGAACACCGAGAGCTTGACGAACGTGTTCGACCAAACCAGAGAAATCTCTGTGAGGTCCGACAGGTAGCAATCGTTCAGGCATAGGGTATTCCAGCTGCGATATGCTTCTAGGACTCGTTATGTCGCTAGACATGCACGTCTCGCTATCTTGATCGAACGAGGAGCCTGAAAAGATTGTTTCGTTCCCTCGGAAATCATTTGAATTCGATATTTCGTCTTTTCCGTAACTTTGAAATAGTAGCTAGAAATATATGGATCAATATAGATCGATATAGTTTAAAAAATTGCGAGTACTCACTGACTGTTAAGACGTCCATCTTAGACAAAGGCGATTCAGGCGAACCATAAGTGTCCTCGCAGCGTAGAATCCTCTGGCCCACAGTGGGCCGTGGAACTAGAAAATTATTATCAAAGTGATGAGAAATTTTTTTAGTCTTTTATTAGGCTGACTATAATTGCTATTTGGCTCTTATTAAGAAAAATAATTCTGTACAAAATGAAAAAATGGAACTATTAAATATGTGTTATTATAACATAACGCTGAAAATCACATGATACTGCAGTAACGTTAGCGTTGATAAAGACACTGACCGACTGAACGAACGGTGGTTCCAATTGGTAAAAGTCTCTCGACGGTTGGCGCGGTTAAAGGATGAGGAGGCTCGTTCCAGCTCGGATGTTGGCCATTGTCGGTGCTCGTGACCTGAGAGGATATCGAGCTAACCGCCGGAGAGCTCGACTGGTCGCTGCTCGTCACTGTAACCACTTGACCCGGAGACACAGGCGAGGCTACGGTCACGCTTTGCTCTATGCGCTTCTGGCGACCCAGTTGCTTAGAATTCGGCGAATCTGAATTACTGGAGCCGGCTGGCGCTGCCTTCTCCTTTGGCAGCTCGTATCTGTCGTATCGCATTTGTCTTCGTCAATGCAGAATCGTTTTAGTAAATACTCGCGACGCAGCGACGAAGTGGATAGTTACCTTTGAACTTGGGCTGGCAGAGTGGTTGCCAGAGCGCTGGACAGCCCGAAAGGCTTCGAGGAGGCAGTGTCCCCGTTGAAAGCTATTTGCACAGTGACGTTCCTTTCTTGGGCAGCTTTCTCCGGTGCTGGTTTCTCTGGAATCGCCTTCTCTAGAATCCCTTTCTCCGCTCTTTCCGGCATCTTCTCCATCCTCGAAACGGGCGTGTACCTCTGCAGATCTGCCTGACCACTTAGCAAAGTACTCGTCACCATCATCTTCACTCCCTCGTGAACGCTCCATTTCTTCTGCGATCCAGCCTTTGTGCTCTTCTCGAAAATAACAAAATGCTAATTAACGTCTATTGAACGTTATTGGAACGTTTATTGGGCCATATTTTAATAGCAAATGGTCCCCATCTGAAATGACGTTCAAGATCTTCGTAGCCATTTTTGGCCATGATCTTGATTAAACAAGAAGAAGACTCAGAACAAATTAAATCTATTGGTTGATTTAATTATAATTTATCTTTCGTATTCTCTGCACATTTGACAATAATAATGTCAAACAAGTAAAATTATCAAAACATAGTTCTTACAAACGAAACGATTGAAACCTTCAACGTAACGATCTTCTCTCGCGTGAGAGACGACATCTATCTCAGAGAAATCATTCAGAAGGAAAGTCAACTTACGTCCTTCAGTTTGAAGTAAGACCCCTATTAAAGACAACCAAGCACGCAGCAGAAATAAAATTCACCATTGATCAGAGATAACGGAAAAGAACAAATCCCCCATGAAAGATTAGGAAATCTTTTACACACTTGATGAGAATCCTCCTCGCTTCCGAGAAACCAAGTAGGTTTGCTGATCCCTTCGGACTTCCTCATCGCGTTCTGGTTGTTCCAATCCATTCTCGTGAGGATGTCGGTGGTGGCTCTAGATCCGTGGAGTGAAATGCTTCTGGTGACAGCGGTCGGGGTTTCCTCCAGTTCACCAAGCGATCCACCGCTGCTGCCATGCAAGGTGCTGTCAGATTTTGGGCTCTCGGGTATTGCGGCCAGCTCGGACTCCGTATCATCCGCATTGATCGAGTAGCTTTGCAGAGCATTCACAATAGCGGAAATTGTAACAAGCAGCTACATGGTGTAAGCGCAGGCACATGGTGTGTCATGGTGTGAGATCTCTCGCTTGGGCTCTGGGTTGTATGTTTCTCAAGACATTCTATAGTGATGCTAGAGCCTAGAATCTGCTAGATTCGATTAAACAAATGGAAAATGGGGAAACTCTAGGGAAGATCGCCCTCGTAGATTTTCATATCTCGAGTCTCGTTATCGTTAACATTCGTTTCATGCCTATAGTTAAAAAAAGAAGAAGAAGAAGAACACTATGAGGATGGTAGAAGTGACCGGTATCTTTGTTGCCCTGGTCTTGAGTCGAATTGAATGACTTGAGATGCTCCAAGCTGTACAATTCTATGATCGCTATGTACGAGATATGAAAGGAAATATTTTTAACAAACTTTGTGTATGGTAACTCACTCTTGAGAAAATCATTTTAAATGAAATGACAGAAAGGGTGGAGGGCGATGTATGAAAAGGAAATCAGTCTAGAGAGTGCAAAACTCGTAAGATACGTCAACGTGAAACATTCCAAGCTGGAGTAGCCTAATGCTCTACCTTTCCACGGGGGATCTATGATGTCGACTAGGATGCAGTGTAACTGCAGAAATGTGTTGGTGAAATAACCTGGAGTGCTTGTTCGTATAACGACAGGTCGGCGTGCTCTCCTCCCAGTGAGTCTCCATTTGACCGTGAGTCGGCCCGGGACTTCGTTGATGCACAGACACCATGGGAGTTCTCATCGGAGGGCTCTCGGCGTTCATATCCCCCATAATGCTAGCCATCTCGTGGTCCACGCCTAGAGACGGTTGTGACACGTCTGAAATTTAACAGAACATATCTACAATTCAATCTTCTTATAGAAATACAGAATATCTCAATTTCCATGGGAAGATAATTTTAAAATTTTCAATTGGCAAGATGTTCCATTTGAAATTTCGTTTTTAAAAAGATCCGGTGAACATTGAAAATTTTCTCGATAGATATTGAAATTCAACTTTCTCGGAAACATCTTATGAAAAAGTATTATTTCATACATGTTGATAATCTTTTATTAATTATCCACTCCTGTTCAGTCTTATCATTTACAAGTGTAAATCCTTCCTTCCAAGGAAGCGTCGCGTGAAAAAATTTCATCAATTTTTCTAACAATAAGTAGAATCACTACTCACTTGCCGCGGTTGTCATCACGGAAATTGATAGAAAATAAATTGTTTATACGTACCACGTGATCTGGATGGTGGAGCACCCATCACCACGGTAGCTGGAATTCTCTTGCACTGATGGTGCTGCGTGTCCAGAGTGTTCAACACGATCTTGATTAGTACTTGCAGCTGGTTGCACCACGGCTGCTGACCGTACTGGCACTGAACGCAATAAGAAACGACTTGTAACACTTCGATCGAACGAACGAAAAGATGTCTCAAAGAAACTTGTCCGTGTCACCTTGTACAGTATGACGAGAAGAGCCATTAACCAGGAGCGTCTGTTTTGAGGTTCGAGGTACCAGAGGCTGTAAGTGGGCGTTTGATGATCAGACGGGGGCACACCTTGCGGAGGGCAAGGACAGTGTTGGAGGATAGCCAAAACTGGAGGTGTCATCACCCATCCCATCACGTGATTCTGATCTAGCAGCTGAGGCAGATTCGCGATGAAGACGTTGAACACAGGAGAAACTCTGGAAAAAATTGCCGGATTATCGTTGCACAAATCTCAACAAGGATCAACTGAAAAAAAAAAAATTTTTAAACTGATAGTTGTCCTTGGAATTTCATACCTTAGTCGCTGCGGAGAAGTATGGAAGGTGCGTTCGGTTTGATTGTAGCCCAGTAGAAGATACAAGTGACGTAGCACGATTCCTTGCGTCTTCGACAGAGGTTTCTCGTCCGTTGGATAAGCCTGTGCTCGTCGATATTCTTTTATCAACAACGAGGGCTTTCGAGTGGACTATATAGAAAGGTTTATTACTCGTTATTTATTACCTGGTCCTGTCTAGAAAGAAATTGCATCAGCAGAAACACCAGCAAGTGCATGGTCTCTTTGTCAGCTTCTTCCAAGTCCACGATTTTGTGCGTGTATCCTGGTAACGCGCTGGTCTCGTCCACCATGTTCAACGAATGAATGTGACCATCTGTAATGTCCGTCAATGGTAAATCTCTTTCCTGATCAAACTCAATCGAACGAGATAAAACGAATGAGATTAGAATAGAAATCTTACCATCATCGCTTGCATTTAAAAATTCCAATTCTCTAAGAATCTTTCATTAATCGCACTCATGCACAAGCAAAGCCTCTCTGATCATCAGCAGCGAATTTACAAGGTTCGATACTTCTACCAACACCAGGGAATTTATCTACTCAACATTCATGCTACGAAGGATAAACACGATCTGTCCGCTACATATTTAAAGGAAGAAAGATCTACAAAACCAAATGTTCAAACGCTACTAGCTACTTTCCACTACGAAGAAAAAATCGCGTTCAACTTCCAAGAGTCCAAGAATGAAAATCGCCGGTCTTACGACAAACGATGCTCAAAACAACGGGAGGGGGGGAACAAAATAGCGTTCGTCTCGGTTTGCCATTTGCCAATGTTTCATTTCCCTCGAACGCTCGAAAACTTATCGCTCCATAGAAGAAGGCCTACGGAGCACAAAAACCAAATCCCCGATAATAATTAAATCGATCAACATCTTTCGATCCTTTCACTTTGCAACGCAACAAAAAAAAAAAAAAAAAGAAAAATGAAAACGTCGAAAGCTGAACTCCTCGAAAACGAGGCTGATGAACCATCAAACTTACCACAAAGGTTCCACATCGAACATCCCCAAACATTATCGCGTTTCGCAATAACACAGATGGGGAGGGAAGGGGGTTAGGTCGGAGATTGTAATACGCGTAACGGGAACATAGATAACACAGAGGAGAACGGCCACGTCTAAAGCTAGCATCAGCAACGCTACTCTACCTGGTATACTGTTATTAGGTGGGGTGGACCCCAGCAACTGACCCAGTCCGAATCTGGAGCTCTTGCGCTTCAGGATAGGCGCCGAGTATTGCCGGCTGTACACCTTCTCCTTTTCTGCGCGGTTCGATACGCGGTGGGCACACAATTGAAAAACGCGTGTAATAGGTGAAGGCGTGATGT